AAAGGCTAAACCTGTGTTTAAATGTAACAGTCTGTCCAAGCCTGTTACCTGTTATGAATATAATTTCAGCCTGTGGTCTGCCTTATTTACAAAAAATAAAAGTCTAGTTTAGCCTATTAGCCTGTTAAAAAAAAAGTAAGACAACAAAAATTTATCCAAACAAAATATACAATCAACAACACTAGTAATTTCATAAATATTCATAAATTTAATGTATATCCAAACAGCATAATATAAAACAAAATCATTCAAAAAGTATGTTTAATTAATAAAATGAGATGAAATGGATTGAGAAGAGAGAGAGCTATCACAAGTAGTATAAAAAATATAAAATAAAAAAAAAATTAGTATATTAGGCCAGCCTTGGAGGCTCTAAGGCCGAGCTTTTGAATTAGAGCCTGAGGCCTTTTTATTAAACGAGCTTTTATATAAGTCCAAGTCTGGTTCCAACAATCAATTGTAGACATGGAAGCTAAGGCCTTCACGAGCCGAACCAAAGGCCCCTATAAGGCACCTGACTCGTTTAGCACCCCTATCAATGAGTATAGCTCAGATTGGCAACTGAGTAGGTTGGAAGAAAATCTGTATTCGATTGTTATCAAATAAATCTTTTTTTTTTGGAGAGGGGGAAGAGCTTTAATGTAATTGAATCTTGATTCGGGTCTCAAGAAGAGAGTTGAAAAAAGAGGTAATTAAGATTGTACAATTTCAATAAATATAAATATAAATATATATATATATATATATATATATATATATATATGCAGGTTATTTCTTAGTCTTACATTAAATTTTAATTGTTGATTTTTGAGTATCTAACGATTAAGATTTATGTGGTCATATTAGATGCAGGCAAAATAACGATTAAGATTTGGTACTAGATTTATTATTCTTATACTGATGCAAGTTGATTATGTTATATATATATAGAGAGAGAGGTAGGATCTTTTGACATTAGTGTCAAATAAATTTCAACTTTGACACCTCATCCGAGAATCATTAGATAAAAAAAGATCAATGACTCTGATTTGTAAGCATGTGAAACCATTGATCTTTTTTGATCTAATGGCTCTCAGACGAGGTGTCAAACTTGAAATTTGACACCGGTGTCAAAAGATCCTACCCCATATATATATAAATATATGAAAAAATATATTTTTACGGCCACTTTAAATAAGATTATCTACAACTACTATAAAAACTATGTCGTTTTGATTAATGAAAGGTGTTTATGTAATTTTAGGTGAATTAATGAAGGGTGTTTTTGTAATTTTTTTTTATCATATACATTTTACTGAAATATCCTTCATTATCTCACTTAAAATTACAGAAACACCCTTCATTAATCAAAATGACATAGTTTTTGGATAGTTTTAGATAACCTTATCTAAAGTGGCTGTAGAAATATTTATCCCTATATATATATTAACTTTTTTATTTTTTTTATCAATCCTTCGAACTTCCAATATTGGGATATATTAGGTGTTAGACCAGAGACATGCAATCCTGTGAAAGGATTGGATTACTGAATGCTGTTAAGAATGACATCTTACTTAAAGATCGGAAGGAAATAAAAAAAAATCATAAATCATAAAATCGTAACCGTATATCGATAATATTAAAATCACATGAAATATAAAAATGTATATGACAACAATTAATTCAAATATATACAATAACTATTAATCTAAATCATCGTTTAATTAAAAATATCAAATTATACAGATTAATTTAATTATTATTTTTTATTAATTATAAAAAATTGCTTTGCTAATTCCATTAAAAAAATAATGAAATTGAAATTCACAATTTGTACTGGAATATGTAAAAAAAATTAAAAAAAAAAAGGCAAGATAAGATTGAGACGTGTAGGTGTACGATTACCTTTTGATGTGTGAACTGACTTTGAGCCTTTGAGGTGCTGGTATGAGATTGACTTGTCCTCTATGCGAGTTGGGTGTTTTGTAGTGGTTTCGGTCATCTATATGGTGAGGGGTGATGTGTGACTTGCACAGAGTAGGTAGAGAGTGAAGAGGGTCTCCATTAAAGCAGTTTGGCAAAGTAAAGAATATGCTGAGCCTCCCACATCGCACATGGTGTGGTGTTGCAGGTCGTGGTAATAATATGACAAAATTGTGAAGATGTCATGTAATAATATCCTTTTATTCCATTGTGAACGGTAAATATTGACATGAGATATTCTTGGAAATCGACAATCACACAAAATCGACAAAATAAAAAAAAGAAAAGAGAAATTGACATGATGGTTCACTCAATTTAGGCTAAGTCCAATTTGTTTATACTATATTCACCTCATCGCCACTCGTTACAAGTAGGGGTGTTAACGGGCCGAGCCGAGCCGAGCTTTGATCTTAACGGGTCAAATCTGTATTTAAACGTGTCCGATTGGCCTTAGTCTATTACTGTTACGAATATAATATTGACATGTGACCTGATTTATTTACAAAAAATAAAAGCCTGTGTGAAGCCTGTTAGCATGTTAAAGAATAAAAATAAGAGAACAGAATTCCACAAAAAATCAATTTCCAGATAGAAACCTTAGCTTCCAATTAATAATTTACAAAGTCTACAATAAATAAAAAAAATTAAAGTGAGAGAAGGTAGATAACAAGTCTTATTATCTTAGCCCATTATAAAAAAAGTGCCAACAAAAATAAAAATAAAATAAATAAAATAAAAAATAAATTGACACAAACGAGCAGTGCACAGTGGAACGAATGAGTTTTTGTGGGTTTGTTTGTGTGAAGGAGGATGAAGGATAATATAGAACAACACTAGTAATTCCATAAATATACATAAATTCAATATATATCCAAATAGCATAATATAGAACAAAATCATTCAAAAAGTCTGTTAAACCAATAAAATGGGGTGAAATAAATTGATGAGAGAGTTATTACAAGTAGTATAAAAAGTATAAATAAATAATTATATACTAGGCTAGCCTGGGAGGCTCTAAGGCCGAGCTTCTGAATTAGAGCCTGAGGCCTTTTTATTAAACGAGCTTTTATACAAATTCAAGCCTGGTTCCAACACGAGCTTTTATTAAACGAGCTCGGGCTTTTACGAGCCGAGCTAAAGACCCCTGAAAGGCCCCTGGCTCGTTTACCACCCCTAGTTACAAGTCACTCGCTTTACAAGAAAAATATAAATATAAATAGTATTAAAAAAATTTAACAACAACTATTTATGGACCCAAATCTAAACTACTAAGAAAATTACAAAATTACAAAAAATCAGAGCTCACAATAGTATCTAGTCTCTATTGGGCTATGGGCGGTGCCCCCGAATCCCTATCCGCTCATTGGGAGTGGGATTCTAGTTACCTTTTATGCTGACCTCGACAATAAAAACCTCGTGAACATGTAACTTATGAGCCATGCTCAACAGATGTGACCCAACGTTCCGGAATAAATTTGTTACATGAGGTGCAAATTTATATATATGAATGATTGAATAGAAAAACTATAGTGTGAATAAAGTAATTGATGATAACATTTCAATCACATATTTGAATAAGGGTTTAATATTTTTCATCAATATCAACATTAATAATATTTTTATCTTAAATTAATTGAGATCCCGTGATAAATAATCCAAAAAAGATACGGAAAAATAAAATTTAATTATATCTACATACATAATATTATCCATACAAAAATAGTACATAATCGTAAGGAGATATAAATAAAAATAAAAAACAAATAAGAATTTATAGAGGGACAGAAAATAATAAGAAGTTAAGAAATAAAAAAAAATTAACATAAAAAGGAATAAAAAAATAAGAAGACATAAGTAAATAGGTAATAGAAAAAAGATTGAAAAAAATGAAACAAAGGAAAAAAGGATAATATATAGAAAGAAAAAATATGAACCAACATAAAAATATGTATATGTAAAAAATAATTTTTTTTTTCAACCGTAAGAAAAAATAAATCCTCTTAGAAATGGTGTGAGAATCTGAAAAAATATCTACTTGAGAATTTTTTAATGGAATATCTTTGTCTCCTGCATTAGACAACAGAATCGAATAAAATTCTTCTGTTATAAAGGAGATGTGTGAAGAAAAGGTTATTCGATTCCCAAGGAGATTTCTCGTGTCAACGGCTTAGCAATCTCCTGTTATAAATGAAGGTTTTCGTTTTATCCTTTAACATAACATAACAAATTTTTCTATACTCACAATATTTTGTGGGGTCTACATTTTTTAAAACAAAAAAATAAATAAAAAATTAAGGCATACAAAACGAATCTCTATAGCATTACACAATCACTTTTCCTACAACATAACTCTTATAAAACCCATAAATGAAATAATGTAAACAATAAAATCACATCATAATAACGTGGTCAATAAAAATACTGCATGATTGTTTCATTATTTTCTGCTGAAGTTCATTCTAGAACCTATAAAAAAATTATTTATTTCACGAATTATGTTCAAAGACGTTAGCGCAACTAATACAATTGAATAATATAGATACAGAGATTTTGTTTTTGAATATTTACTTAAAAATTAAAGATGTGAGCAATTGTCTTTTGTGTAATGCATCATATTGTTAGAACAAATACAAAATGTACTTATAGAACAAGTACAAGATTATAAATATGGTTAGTTTTTTTTCTGTATTCAATGTAAATAAGTTAGTTAATTAAGTTCAAATTAACGTTGTTTTGGGATGAAAATTATAATATTTTTGTAATTATAATTTATTTCAAGATTATAATAGTCTTTTTTTAATTTGTCAATTTAAAATGACATTATTTTGAGAGTGAATATTGATATTTTATCTACATTCACTATAAAAACATTAAAATCTTATAAAAAACAGCACTCTTTTCTGATATTATATGAGAAATTTTTTTTATCTTACACATACACTGAAGTTCTCACTTTTTTTTTTAATTTAGTGGATTCTATCTGATAAATGGTATCAATTGATAATATTTTCATTGATTTAAAACTGTACATCAATGTATCTTAAATAGAATAGGCTGTTACGGCTGTTACCAAACAGTCTGTTACCAAATAGTAAAACAACTTCCTAAAGATAAGTAACTACACCTAATTACAATAGGACTCAGTTATACATATCCTAACAAACTACAGGTTACAACATATCACAGCAAATCATAACAACATATAGAATCTTCTATTCCAACACTATCATGTGATTTTTTTACATGAGAAAATTTTTCTGTTATGTAACATATTGAAAGATTAACCCAAAAAATCCTAATATCAACATTAATTGATATCACACCCTCTGCTACGTGTAGAAATTTAGTGCTTTCGGAGCACTTTTAATTTGGTGAGACAGAGTAGAGAAAAAAAAAAATTGAGAAGAAAGAAGAAAAAAAATAAAAGTTTAATACAAATATCATATTTTTAGAGGGACCACCAGAGTCGGGTACCATATAAATTTCCCCCTCTGCAACATGCCCACTACCACTAGTATATTTAAAGGGTCAAAACTCAAAACTTTCTGTGTTACAAAAAAAGTTAAAACTTTTTCCGGCCGACACAGTACCATGTGGGTCTCATTGTTTGAAGGGTCCGCACGAAGCATCCTTTTTCTCGACGAACATAATACTTATATTTTTCATATTTAAATTTCCAAAACAAGTATTCCAATTAGCCAAAAAAATGATATTTTCCCCAAATCGTGTTTACTGTAGTAAATTGTGTTTACGACTAACTGCAGAGTATAGAAAAAAAAAAAAAAAACCGAAGATCAAGACTAATAAGCCAAACCCAATGTACAAATATCTTCCACTGGAGGGGCATTCCAATGTGCAGTCTGATTTTTCAACTTGATGAAATCGTTAATGCAGTTCATCAATTTCATAGAGTGAATTCTCTTCCTAGCCTCAGCAAGTTTCTTTCCAGCAACTCGATCAAAAGTCTTCTCCCAACCATTTTCCCAGCTTTCGTGAGCATCGCAAAGTTCAAGTGACCCGTTCTCCCAATCGGTCCAACTCCACTCCTTTTCAACGGACACCATCACGTTCTCCACGCACGTGCCTTGGCAAACCGGCACGCACGGTCTGCATTTTGCTCCGCTCAGTGGACCGGGACTCGACAACGCCCCGACCGGCACGCCGAACTGGCCTGGCGGAAAATCGTACTTGCGGTCCGAAACGATGCAGAAAGGAAGTCGATTCGTGAGGTAACTCACATGTTGTGTTGTGAGCTGAGCTTTGAAGGCTGATTCTGAGTTGAGGTTGGTGAATCCAGCGGAATCTAATTGGGGAATGAGGGAAAGCCGAGACATAGCCACTGTTGAGGTTTTGAGGTCGCCGATGCCTAAACGGTCGTTGAGTCCACCGTACGAGGATCCGGGAGGGACCAGATACTTACCCGGAACAAAGTTTTCTGACCCGAGTGGAGCGTTCCAGTACCCGTCTACTCGTGTTCGGACTATCCAGTCGTACGTGAAATGGTTCTTCTGCTGATATGATTTTATCATCGTTAAGCATCCTTCCACGAGGTTAAAATATTGAAGAAGCCCCTGCAAAAAAAAAAAAAAAAAAAACGCAAATTAAATTTAAGGATTTGTTTAAAGTATTTTTGTAATTATAATAATTTTTTTATTATAATTTTTTTAATTTTTAACTCAAAATGACATCGTTTTGAGAGTAAATATAAATAAATAACTTATTTACAGAAATATTAAAACCTAAATTTAATCATAATTAGCATTTTTTATTTTCTTTTAAAATGCCTTATATATACATGTGATGAATCTTTGAAAGGTCCGTATTTTATAAGGCCCGGGACAATATGAAAGGAAAGTTATGCAAATCAAGAAAAAAAATCCTTTGTTAATGATGATCATATTTTTATAGCTGTAAAATTGGACTTAGGCCTTCAAATAAGCCACTAGAGATACGGAACCTCCAAATTTATGTATCTAATTTCTCTTAGTATTATGTTGTTACTGTATACACATATTATCTCATTAGCAAATGTTGTCGTTCATATTAGTGCACAGTAATTCACAACCTCAAAGATATCTCTTTTATAAATATATTAAAGAGAACACCAAATCCAAAAGCAATTCATTAATTTTTGACTTAGACATTTCTGTCACTTAAAAGAAAACAATACATATTCAAGTATAGTATACGTTAGTTAGCGTCAAACTTTTGTTCTAAGGAAGAGAGGTGGTTTGGTTTAGCTTAAAAGTACCTATTGTGGAATAGGAAAAGGAAGGATGGGCCAATTAAGAGGGAAGTTGTGGTTACACCCGCCAACCCTACCTAACCGGCTCCCAAGTCCCAAGTGTCAAATTTCAATTCAACTCCTGAATAATCTAGAAGCTATAAAACCCAATGTTTGGTTTGATGCTTTTTGATATTTTCTCAGGTAAATCAAGTTTGGTTTTTAAAAAATCAATGTGTAGTTCAACAGTTTTTGACCAAAATCCATTTATGTGAAATGCATGACTTTTTGAGAAAGATAATAATTTGTACTGTTTAGAAACCCGATTTGTCAAATCAAACTACTTTTTTTTAACTTCTCCATCTATTCAACTTTCCCTATAATACCTAGTAATTACAGTCTAGTAATTACAGTTCTCTAGTATTCTTAAAATTTATCTTCAATCAAACGCCCCCTAAAGTTTTTAAAAGTATAGAGATTCATTGATAACTTTTAAACTATAAATTTATTTAATAGAAGAGAATGATATGTTTACAAACTTTTTTACAAATTACACTAAATATGACTGGTCATACATTCTTAATTGATGCATGACCGGTCAGACATGATGTAATTTATAAGAGTTTGTAAATAAAATGTTTGTAAATATAACATTCTCTCTAATAAAAAGAAGTAAAACCAGCCAACGTAAATTACATTAAAGCGCCATTAGAGATAATTAAGTACGAATTTAATATATCTTACACAACCTAGCTAACCGCAGTCATAAACGACTAAGAGTAAGTACCTTAACAGTTTTTCCTCTAGCCAACGTAAATGGATTTGGAAGATGAGACGCAGAAGAAAAGAATTGATTTTTTTTTATTATTATTAAAAAATTTAGCATCCTGGGGACGTTTGGAAAGGCAGAAGGAAAAGAAAAGAATCCGACACTAATTAATATGAAAATCTTCAGATGGAGGCAACAGAACCAACTAAAATTCTACGATGAAAAGGTGTTGATCGTTTAAAAGAAACAAATAATAAAGAATAAAGAAAGAGAGGTAAAATATCCAAAACGTATAACAATCTGAAGTAATATTTTCAGAAATCAAGAAAGGAATAAAAAGAAAAAGAAAATAGGCATGAAACCTGGATGCCGTTGGGCGAGTTCTGCGCCGTGAGGACTCGAACATATGACTCATTCTCCGGCAACGGTTGAGGGTGGAAGATTCGAACGGCAGCGACCTTTGGCGCAAACCTCAAGAGAGAGAACTTGAATGTATCTTTGTCTATCGGGCTATGCAAAAAAAGATCCGAATTGGGGTATTCCTTGATTATCATCTCCAATATGGAGGGTCCAGTGAGTTCGAACCTTCTAGCACCACCCACCAAACACACAGCCATTCTCGACCGCACCAACTCATCTTTCGAAGCATGATTATTGTTCTCGTTGATACCCACAGCCTTGGCTTTTTGAAAAGGAAGGCTCAAAAGGAATTGCTGAACAGGGTACAATGAAGAAAAGGTGTTTAAAGTGGTTGAATGGAGAGAGATGAACATAAGGATAAAAACGGCAGGGATTATCAACACAAGGAAACGCCAATCAAGATCAGATACCCATTTAGTAAAGGGCAGCGTAAACTTTCTGGGACTCTTTAGCATCTCTAATAACTTTTTTTCTTCTTCTTCTCAATTTCTCTAAATATAATTTATTTATTTACGCCAGCCGGTACTGTTGCTCTTTCACAAAACCTTGAGGTTCCTGCTGCATTGAGTAACTTCTCCTTCTCCCAAAGGGTAATTAATTCATCAAGTGATATGTGATAGAACTAACAGTCAAGTGAAAGCAATATGATTCTTATGAGAATAAAATGGAAGGAGCATGTTATGGTGAGAATTAATGGGTATTAGGCTTCATATGAAGATGGCTGCTACCACACGGCTGTTTGGCATGATGAGAAGCTAAGAGAAATTTTGATAAGTCACAGCAGAGCTTTCCTTAATTCTTCTTTTTTTTAGTACATTCCTTCTCCATTCATTTTTTATCCGCCTTATCTAATAAACTTTTTATTTTATTTTATTAATATATTCTTTGTAAAACAGTCGACATCAATGTTATTGAATCGCAATAAGTATCGTGTATTGTTTGACTGATTTTTTTTATCATATATCGTTAATCGTATCGAATCGTAAAATACAGAAATATAATAAAAAATTTAAAAATTAATATAATTAAGGGGAATGATTCGTTTACAAATTTTTTTGACAAATTTTTACAAATTACACTATCTTCTCCTGAGAGAACGTAGTGAAACAGTGAAACCTAGTGTTCTCCTGAAAGAAGATACTATAGTTTGTAAGAGTTTGTAAACAAAAAAGTTTATAAATATAACCTGCCCCTATAATTAATATCATATAAATCCAAATTTCAAAAAGAATCCAATAAGTAATTAAAGTGCAAATCAATTATTTTCACACTTATCAATCATTAAGACTAATATTATCACTACTATCACGATGGGATCTATCAGTGATATAACTAATTAGTCCCCCTCTTCTAAAAAGGGCCCTTCTAGTTTTTTTTTTTAATTTAAATCGCAAAATGATATATTTATTTCTTTTTTTATATTAAAAATTACAAACTTTGATTTAATTTTTGTATATTATGATGCACGTATCATATCATATCGTAAGTAATAGTATCGTATCATTCGATACAAACCCGTTTTCTGATACACCCTAAAATACGTATTGTTAGGCTTGTGAATCGTATCGTATCGCGTATAATAAAATACTGATAACAAGTTAATAATTTAAAATAATTAAGTCAAATATTTATTTGTTGAAAAAAATGACTTCATACTTTAAATTAAAAAACAATTAGCATATGAATATATATTTATTTACTTTTGTAAATACTTCATCAGACAAGTGTCATGCAAGAAATAATGTTTTCTATATGAATATGCATTTATATATAAAATAATATGAGAAAAGTATGCTTTTTAATATAAAAACAACTCAATAGTTTATGCAAAAAAACACACATCTAAAACATGGAAATTTTAAAATAATACATAATAATATATATTTTTTAATATAACTAACCATAAATTCCAAAAATAAAGTCGTAATTTTTTAAATAAGAAAATTAAATGGTATATTTAATAAAACAAATTGAATATTTTCATCAGGAAAGATATGTACATAAGAACAATGTCTAACATGTTTTATAAATATTATTTCATAAGATAATAGACACATTTTACGAATTAGAACACACATCTTTTACATGAAATTATTTTATCGTATTTGGTTAAAAATGTAGTTACTTTCTCGGCTATTTGACCCTTTTGTCCTTTATTAATTAATTAATAATTATTTTTTCCTTTATCCAAAACTATCTATCAATCTGTCATTCTTTAACCGATCAACTTGAAGATTTAATAAATTAAACGGTCAAAACTGGCAAAAATGATTGACTTGAAGACTTAATTGATTAAATATCCCTCTTAATTGATTTAATAGATTAAAACTTATATTTAATCGATTAAATATCTCAAATGAGCATGAAAGCATTGATTGAATGAGACAAACACGGTATTGGAGGTTATTGAAATTTTGAATTTTGAATTTAATGTAATAGGAGTTGATTGCGATTTGTATTTAATAGGAGCTGATTGCGTCCTATTATCAGCTCCTATTAAATACGAATCGCAATCAACTCCTATTACATTAAATTCAAAATTCAAATAACCTCCAATCCAATACACGAAAAACTGATTGAAGATTCTGCTAAGTATTAATTTTATGATGAATATGCAAGATGAGAAGGGTTCGTTGTTTGCCTTGATCGCTGTCATCGTTCTGAGGTTGACAATAACATCACTTCGTGCCGTTTTTCATGTAATAAGCAAAGTTTTCATGTGAGAGGTAGAAATGGAGCCAGGTCTGTTCATGTAAATCAATCTAGTTTTCAAGAATCATTTTTCTTTTCGTGCTATTGCTAAATCAAATCATTAACAATGTTTGCATTTGCTTATCAAACCATTAACCTGTTGGGAGATTTAATCGTTTAACTTGAAGATTTAATCGATTAATTCTTCAAGTCAATCATTTTTATCAGTTTTGACCATTTAATCGATTAAATCTTTAAGTTAATCGATTAAAGATGGACAGATTGGTAGATAGTTTTGAATAAAGGACAAAATAATTATTAATTAATTAATGAAAGGTAAAAAGGTCAAAAAACCGTACTTTCTCATTTATAAAAACTCCGTAAGATTTAGTACTCTTTATTTATTCAGTAAAAATATGTTACGCTATTTCGATTTATCAAATTAATCGAGAACCGTATAAGAATACAACTCTTATACTATTTTAAATTCTTATAGGAAAAAATATTAAAGAATAACGATAATTGACAAATAAGAATGATGATAGACATGCATAATTAAATGCCTGAAAGAACAATATAGCTTCTTTTTAGCAAATTTTCCCTTTTTAAAAAAAAAATAACATCTACCAAAAAAAATAGTAATAAGAGCATCCTATTGTTAGCTAGGGAGCATTTTTGTTACTCCTTTTCTTTTATTTTTTTTATTTTTTTGGTAAAAACTCCTTTTATGTTATTTAAATAATATGAATCTTGTCACGCGAGGCCCTCAATCCTCATACGAAAAATAAGAGATATGGCATGAAAAAAAAAGTTAAATAATTTCAAAGATAAAAAAATTTAAAAACGAAATTATTATACTGCACATAAATTTAATTTGTTAAAGAAGCAAATTTTGTCATTGAGTACTGTGCACTGGATAATTTTTTTTTTTTATATATATATAGCATTTTATAACTCTTTTATAAGTTTTTTTTTAACTTTATAAAAAAAATGACAAGATTAATATTTTTTTCAATAAATTTATCTAATTATTTTAACAGCTTTTACATATATTTTTTGATTATTTTTTTTTAAGAAAAAGAAAAGACTATCAAATGACCTTAAATGGCACCTACAAAGTGGTTGGTTATGTGGGTACCAGGGCATAGGATGTATCCATTTCAACAATAAAAAATGAACTTCAATCAATTAGTGAACGCCGAATTAGGTCCCTTTGCTGTACGTTGAGCAAGGTAATAGAACTCGATTGGTTACGGTTAGAATTGATGTAGATTTATCCAGACTACAACATTGTCGTTTTATTTTCTTGTTGGAGTTAATTATCATGATGCAGCGATTTGAAGAATGTGCAATAATCAGGATTATGAAGAACATGATCTGATGCAGAGAATCAATGCTCTCTCGTTTCCTTTAAGTTTGTTGCGGCAGGAGATTGGTTAGGAGGGAAAGGTGTTAGACACGATGTGAATATGAAAAGGACTATTTCCTGATGCTTTAGCATAGAGTGTCACCTACCTTTCTTTCTTTTGTTTTCTTTTTCCCTCTCTTTTTTTTGGTGATTCTATCGTCCTTTTCTAACTTCCTTTACCAAAAGATGACGACAGAAATTTACCTAATGATACGTGTGTGATAATGTTTTATTTTCGTGGTAACTGACTTTGATATATATGGTTGGAGGATTAAGACAAACCATAGGAGTAGCTAGTGCGGAATTATGTAGCATAATAACGATTGTTTTAATTAAATTTTAGCATGATTGAATAAAATTGTGCATCTCTAAAATAATATGTATTTTACCTACCCATCTTCAATTCTATTATATCAAAATCTCAAGAGGACAAAAAAAATGAGATTCTAATTCAATAATATTAAAGATAGGTAAGTAAGATAAGAAAGAATAAAAAATAAGTATAATATCCAATCCTTATATATGTTTTATATATATTTCTCTTTCCTTTCAAACTAACGGAAATTTAAACATCAACATTGTCATTAATTTGTTACGTTCTGTTAGACAACGTATAAAATAGAGTAAGAATAGTTATGTCCCACGATTAATAGTCGGTGTTTTAGATTAATATAAATAATATAATGATCTAGTCTACACACGGTTCCTATATAATACCAAATCCTCTTGAGCAATAATTCCAAACTATCAAAGTCAAACTCAAGTGTTACACAATTGCTTCTACTTTTCAAATCGTCTCATGAAAACTTATAACATCAATAATTAAATCACTATAACTTATTAACTAGTTATAATCTTTTTATTATTATATTTATTATATACCTGAGATAAATTTTATTGTATTGTTATATAATAAATATAGTACGTCATCTATATATGACTTTTTCTTAAATACTATATGCCATTCTCCCAGAAGCGACAAAACATAATCGAATTTTGCTTCCAATGGCAGCCACTCATAGTCATGAGTTCTACGCGATACTAATTAGATAAGTCTAAACATGTAACTACAACCATTCGGCTTTTTCACCCTTTTGTCTCTTATGAATTAAAAAATAATTATTTTGCCCCAGTCCCAAAATTACACATTAATCTACTTCCTGTTTTACCATTGACCAGATGATTTAGTCGATTATATCGTTATGTAATCAATTATTTCGTGACTAGAAATTAAGAGGTATATTGGATTGAAATTTTAAAGAATTTTAATTAATTGTTTTCGGACAAAATAATCTATTGGTATTCAATTAAGATTTTAAAAAATTAAAAAAAATCATGTGGTATTCGATTAGGATTTTAAAAGAAAATTTTAGAGTCTGTCCAAATCTGGTGGCATTCAGTCATGATTTTAAACAAAGGAAAAAAATCTTGTGGTATTTAAAAATTTTACAATTTTAGTGGATTTTTTATTGGTGTGAATTTCGTGAGACTTTTTAGTGAGAAGTATAAATAGGATGCCTCTCTCATAATCTCACCATAACCACTAGCATTTCTTGAAATTTCTCTATTATAGTGTTTCTTCTTCCTTTGGCGGGTCGACTCGCTCAAAACCAGGTTTCGTTATGTGAGCTTCGTGAAAGCTCAAAATCAATAGATTTTTAGGATTCTAATCACAAAAAAACCTGGATAACGAC